TATCTTCAAACATATATTTTATTCAAAAATAAAAACATCATCGCTTTCTCAAAATCACATAAAGCCATATTATAACATCGACTGAGATAAGGAATAAAATGAAATATTAAAATTATGATATATCTCGCTGCATTGTGCGAGTACGCTTCTAGTATTATTAAAAATATTTAATAAAAAAATGTAATTTTTTAACAATTTCTTCTATCCATTAAAATAAAATGTTTTGGCATCCAAAATTCCAAAATCATTCGAGACGCCAAGATGATGCCGCTTTGGTGTACCACCTCCATGACTATGCTCTCTTTCTCCTGCATAAACAAGCTGGCCGTTTCTTCTTCTCTTCATTGTCGCAGTGTAATTAGCAGAAGGATCTCTGCGAAAATGGCAACTGGCTCATCATCTTTCCAAATCACTCACACTATAAAGTTGCCGACTCAACCTAACCAATCCGTGACGGTTGTTGCCGCCCCTGGTGTCTCCGATTCCGACTTCAGGCGAGCCTTTCCACTTTCTCCTTCGTTTATGTCATCTATTAGTTTTGATTACATTAATGACTTTTAAGTTTTTAGTCGCAAATTACAATGAGAATATATTAATTAGGTAAACTATGGAATTACGGCAAGATGTTCTTATGTAATTAAACATGATCAATTTACCGAGTAAACTTATGTATTCTATTATTATTTGTATGCATTTTTTATACGGGATGTTAATTGATCTTTGATACTCTCTCTCCTTTCATAATTTAGTCCACCTTTTATTCTGGAAAATTCAAATCCTGATACCTTTAAATTGAAAAAAAAAACAAGTTATAATTTTTGGATTAGATCAATTTTTTTGGTTATGTAATGCTCCCTCAGTTCCGAAAGAACTAACATTTACCATTTTCCTTGCCCCAAAAAAAGATACATTTCAAGATTTGACATGAACATAAGATTGATGACCCTAAATTAACCTTTCCTCCTTCAAAGTACGGGGAGAAGTCATGTTGTTAAGCTTTAACTAATCGAGTATAGAATTGTCTAAAATAATGAATATACATTCCCCCTAAATTTATAAAATGGACTATTTTCTTTTAAGGAGGGTATCCAATTTTTGAGATTAGTGTAGTTATCAGTTGTTTATATTGCTGATACCAGCATATATAATTGATCTTGAAGTTAGAAGCTAATCCATCTGACTTTACTTAGTTAGTGGTGGACTTTAGTATTGTGACGCATGGAGTTAGAACAAAGAATAATTGTAATGGTCCTACAAAAAATCGAACCAACAATGTTAGATGAATAAGAGAACTAATTTTTCTGATCCAAGATAGGAGTTGCATGCTGGTCTCAATCATTTGCAACGCTTATTTTGTGTAACTATTGGTTTTTGGTTGTCCAACATAACAGGTATTGCCTGCCTCGAAGAAACACCTTTTGGTCTTTCCATCTTACTGTAATCAACAAATTTTATATGTTCTATTCACTTCCGCCCCCCACATGGTTACTGCATTTTTCTTTGCCTACTAACCCAAGTAAAATCACACTTGTATATTGTAGGACTTCTTTCTTCTCAATAGCTCATCAGATCAGTCACACTCACCCAATAATGTGTTTTGTGTAAATCAATAAACGATCATTTATATGCTGTCTTCATCTGTTTACATGTTGCCTAATCAATAAATAGCTTCTCCCATTCATCTCCTTGGCTAAATACCAAATTGGTTTTTTGACACCTTGGACTTAACTCTACATCCTTATCATATGCCACGATAAACTGTTCCCATCTTATGGCACATAAGCTTTGATTCTTCTATCATTTGTATGATTAAGAAATTTTTATTTTTCTTTAATAGGTCTTCCACAACGAACTCTACCTATACTGTAACGGTATTTAATTCCTGTTCCCCCCCTCTTCCTTACCATGGAAAGTCTTTGTGAAATAACTCGTAGGAGTCTGGGCCTGGGCCGTGTCTCAGTCCCAGTGTGGCAGACCAGAAAATCTCATTTTTCTTATAGGGGGACAAGGCACTCTTCTGCACTTATCTGGTATTTACTTTGTCTTAACAATGATATTAATTGTTCCCACGGCTTGAGTCTAGTGGGTAAGGAAGTGGGCATCCTTGCAGAATGAGTGACAGGTCTGGGGTTCAACTCCAAGCACCACCTACTTGCCCCTGGGACACATGATTTACCTTCTCCACAGTGACCGAGGGACCAGGTGGGACGCCCTAGTGGGTGGCATCATACCCTTTTTGCATAATGATAACATCACACAACCTGCTGAGTCGTAATATGTCTGCCTCCTCCAGGGGTCTAAAAATGTGTTTCACGTCAGCACCAAATCTTACCTACTTTTGTTAATGCTTTAGTTACCTCCAACACTGAAATTTCTATGTTTAAACGTTCTATTTTCTTCTTCAGAAATGCCATCAAGCTTTCCTACACTCTCCTCACTATTTTTCTGTTGAACAATTCACAAAAACAACCTTTTTGGCGTTCTATGACTATGACCCCATCTTTTTAAAAGTCTTTTACTCATTCTTTATACATTTTGTCTAATTTATGTTCTTAATGTTCATTTTTTATCTTAGCCAACTTGTATGCATGTTTCCCGTACCTCTTTCCTTCAGTTCCTTGTTCAGCTTGATATATGCTCTACCTTGCTGTTGCAGGAATGCTATTGGTTCGTCTTTATTTGAGCAGTGGCTAAAGAACATCCAAAGTGAAAAAGGCCTCCTTGCTGATGGATCATTGTCTTTAAGACAAGTGCTCATTCAGGTATTATCTTCAAGCAATGCAACTTTTTTTGTTGTCAGCAATAAGTACCTTGTCAGTTAGGTTCTTTTACTTCTCTTGTTCTTGATGTTGTGTTTATGTATTTGATACCGAAATTGTTGGTTATAATATCTTCTGGAATGATTTTTTGTAGTTCTAGAGCCTAGAGGAAGTCATTTCAATACCGCTTAATTTCTACCTTTTTATTTGTCACCTGTGCCATGTCGTGCTATACTCTCAGTCCTTCAAAAAATTACGATCACAATTTCGACTTTTTTCTTGTCCTATAAAAAATTTCTTTTTTTTTTGGTAAAGTTCAGCCCAACTTTATTATTTCCTGTTGCAATCATTACAAGATATTTGTGACATTTATTTTGGTCCATCAGTTTTCTATATTTTCATTATTGTGGGGAATTTAGGTATTTGATTGTTAGTAAAAACTTCGGTAAACTATGTGTCAAATCAAACTTTGCATTATTCTTTGGAAATGAGGGAATTATTGTTTACATAATTATATGTAGCATAAGATGTATGACCAATCTACTGTTCTAATTTACAAGAGGAAATTACATAAGGATATTTACTTATTGCAACTTCTTTCACTTCTCTCCAATTATTTTCTTTTCAAAATTCACCTATATCATTCCTTTCTAATCCCATAAAAAAGAGCAAAATCATGACACGCCTACTGAGGGACAAATGATTGAATCTGCATTGCTGTTATACATAACTTGGCATGGTTACAACCACACGTTGTGTGTGTGGGGCTTATGCCCTTTTCTTGTTTGGTAGCCACCCCCATTTTTTTGGCAGCAATCACTAAAACACATTTCTCTGTTATGTTTGATTTCTGTGCTTCTTGTGAAAAAGGGGGTTGACATGTTTGGCAAGCGCGTCGGCTTTCTCAAGTTMAAAGCAGATGTCATTGACAAGGAAACAGGACAAAAGGTACATTTACATGATCTTGATGAAAGACATACTCTAAGAGGGAAAAACTGGAACAACAATAAAATGAACTAGGTTTTCGGGCTTCATACCATAGAAACACTTAGCATCACATCCTTGATAATCATAGGCATCTCATCCAAGGGTGGTCGTTTCACACAATTGAAGGGGAAACTCCGAGTTTCTTTATTCAACCATCCTGTTATCAGGGGTTGTCAGCCTATCTACAATGATGCTTATCCGAATGATTAAACTACTAGTTATCCTTAAGATAACAAGAACAAATGATCAAAATAAGTACGAACAATAATCATGCTAAATATAGGATAAATAGTAACTGTCACCAAGATATATGCTTTCACATAATCTTTTCTTACAATTATCATCAGCTTTTCCATCCCTTTTGCATTTAGTTTGATTGGCTTAGCCCTTAATACCAGGGTCAACGTCTTATATCTTTTTATTGGCTTGATGAAGTTCTATGTGAAATTAGTTTCAGTGGTGGTTTCTATTCAAATGCTAAGGATTGCTTTTTTGATGTTGAAAATCTTGGTTAACCAAGTGGTTTAGAAATATGCTGGGTGTATCTCTTCAGTGTTTTGTGGGGTTAAATGTTGGCAATTCTTGTGATCTCTAGTGCCATGAATCTTGCTGAATATTTAAGCCATGAACAACGTGATATAAGGTTGTGGGGAAAACCATGCTCTTAAAAGATGCAAAATAAGTCTGTTCTTGGTATCTATGTTCTAATTATCAACATAATATGAACTTGGCCTGAATTCGAGAACATGTGATCTCCTAAAAACCGATGAGGTCTTATTTCATTAATTTCCTAAAGAAAAACAATCAATGGAGCACCATATTTATAGTGTCCTGCTAACAAAAACAATCCTAAAAAGACTCAAATACGTAACTTGCCAAATACTCAAATAAAGACTTATCCTAATTTAAATAATTAAATAAACCCAGCTGGCCTTATCCTTCCATCCGACCTATCGACGCCTCTGATAAACTCTCCTGAACCTCTGGGGCGTATCACAACATCGTACAACATATTTTAAACACGGTACATAAACTGATTTTGTGGTCATTTGAGAACATGCTAAATTCCAAACAAACAGAATGCTAACTTTTAGTCCCAACTTAACCTTTTTGTGGTTTATTGTTTCAACTTTTGCTTTGTCTCTTCTCATGTTCACCTGTGTTAGTGTGTCTCTTTTGTTTTGTTTGTGCGCTAAATTGCATATTACTCAGGTTCCAGGTATTGTATTTGCACGAGGACCAGCTGTAGCTGTCTTAATCCTACTGAACTCAGAGGGGAAAACTTACACTGTGCTTACCGAGCAGGTTTTCCTGTGTATGATTTTACATTTTGTGATAACCTAGCGGTTCAGTAATATTCACATTCTAGTGATCAGATAGTGAAGTTACAATGAGTTGAACAAAAGGCTGATGGAAATCGTCGTCTTAACTTGTACATATTTAAGGTTAGGGTGCCTGTTGGCAGGCCCGTTTTGGAGCTGCCAGCTGGGATGTTGGATGATGATGTGAGTGATGTTGTTGGTACAGCAATACGTGAGGTCAGCAAGTCTCTCTCTCTCTCTCTCTCTCTTGACCACCCCCTTTTCCCCTGCTTATGCAAAATATGAGTGTACTTATATCTGCACCTTGATCATCCGTTCTTTTTTTGAATGAATACTGTAGTTTTTGTTGAATAAAGATTGTATTATAGTTCTTTACGAGTGACCAGAAACACCAGCAAGAACCATTTTATGATTGATCTCTTATAAAGAACCACCCTTTCTATATTCACCTGGTGCTATTTGGTTGTATTTTCATGCGATTCATTTGTATGCTATTTTCTTAGTTGAGGAGATTGTGACACAAGTATATTCTTATTGTCATCTTTTTTTTGGTGGTTCTATCTGAAAATCTGTATAGATAATCTCTTTGGTTATGTTAAGTGCCAAAGGGTGATGATGTAGTGATACTAGCGATAAAATAGGCTAACTACATTCTTAGGCTTTATAGTAACTTTCACTGTGGGTCCCTGATTCAGTCATTGTTGCAACCTGTCCTCTTGTACTCAAAAGCTCTCCTGGCTAACTTTTCTTTAGTTTAACCTTATTGTTGACTACTAGAAGTACATACATGTGAATATATAAAAATGCATGCATGTATGTGTATATACATATATATATATATATATATATATATATATATAAATATGTCAATGTATTTACGTGTGTGTGTATGAGTTGTAAAAGACCGACGTTTTAAACATGATCCCTATGTCTCCCACTTTCTCCAATTGTGCTTCTCTCCCTGAAATTTCAGCTATTTTTGCAGCATGTGGTTTGCTCTCTGCATTACCTTTGTATCTTAGTTTTAACGATCTGATATGCTTTTTCCTTTTTTTTATTATGAGGAAAATAAGTTCGTAATATGTAAATCAGCTTTATTTTCATTACTTTCTCTAGGTTATGAGTTCTAGTTTGTGATTCTTCTAGTTCACTCATCAAGCTAACAATGGTCATACATACATACATATATATATATATATA